CCACCTGGGGTGCTGGGATGACTGTGCATTCGGTAAATGGATCAGGGTGTGATCCTCCGGATCACAAAATTGGGAAAGGGCTCATACTTTTTTGGCTGGGGATGCAGATTCTCCTTGTTGAGATTCATGAGTTTGCTCCTGGAAAACAACCTAAATGTCAGCTGAATTGAAATGGATCATGCAGGGTGGGGGGGTGCCCCACCCTGCACCCTCCCCTCCCTTCTACACAAGCATAAGCACCTTCAGCTCATGCTCTCAAAATCCAAGCACGAAAGCTTAAAGTTTCATGCAGGCTCCTGTTTTGAAGGGGTTGGATATGCAATTTGCAAATGTGGTAGGGTTGAGTGCACAGGCAAAGGAGTCAACTGGGAATTCTCCCTTTATCCCCATACTTCAGCTATCCCACACAACAGAACTTCCCATGGAAAATGCTTGTTCCTACGACATCCATCCCTGGGTAACTTGCACATCCCTGGTAACTTCTGAGATTGCTTCCACAGCTCCATGTCATCAAGGACAAGGATCAGTAGCATATCAGCGATGTTTAGAATTTCTAAAATTGAATGTGCATTCGCATGGATAAAATGCTTCGACAATGGGGGGCACCTCGGCTGGGCAAGCAGGCTTGACCAAGCAACCAACAGCGGCTTTTGAATCAGTGTGAAATTAGCTGCCAAGTGGTGTTGTTCTTATGACTTGGGGAGGCCCGGACGGCTCAAACCCTATCTTTGTCCGCCCTGTAGTGTCTATGCAAGTAAATACTAACACAAAAGGGTTTTGAGCTATCAAGGCCTCCCCAAGTCATAAGGACACCACCGTTTGAAGTATGATTGTTTGTCTTCTTTCATGCTGATTCCAGAGCTGCTCCTGGGTGCCATAAAGCCTGCTTGCCCAGGGGAGTTAACTCTCCAGTGAAAGCCCATTTCATCCATTAAATTTCAGATTCAATTCAAGATTTTGTGACATCGCTGGCAGCATGTGTGATGATAAACCAATTGAACATACGATGTGGATTCCTGGGTGGATGTGGTCAGCAGTGGAGAGGAGCCAGGGAGGGGGCACTCAGCCCATCACCAGTAGCAGCAGCAGCAGCAGCAGCACCAGCGGCAGCAGCACCAGCAGCACCAGCACCAGCCAGGCCCGGAGGGGCAGGCACCGCACAAGCACCTTGCAGCGCCTCCCCCCATCTGCAGCACCTGATGCAATTGATGCCAGGGGATATGGGGAGGAAGAAAGTGGCGAAAGGGTGCACATGCAAAGAGGCAGAAGATGTCTTCTGCAGTGCAGGTGCCAGTTAAGCCAACGGCAGCAAGGCGTTCGTGCTGTACCTTAGACGGACAGGGAGCTCTTCGCAGAGCAGGGGGAATGGAAAACCAAAGTGCATTCCATGCTCACGGGACAGCAGCGCATAGCAAGCAAACGCTGAATTCTGGAGGAGAGGCACCTACATGCTTGCCTTGTGCTTGCAGCACAGCAAATTTGGCAATATGAGCATTTCCCCCATGTGCAGGCTAATGAGGAGCGGGCTCACGCAAAGAAGCAATGCCCAACTGTTTGTAGGGTTGGCTGCAGGCAGCAGCCTGAGCCAGTGGTTGTGCAGATGGATGATGACAGTGATGAAGAGCGCCTGAGCTAAGACTTAAGTGTGTGCGTGGGAAATGGAACTCGGAATGGATACTTGAGTGGGCAGGTGGGGGAAACATCCGCTAGTGTTTGAACAGTTTGTTGCTGTTGAAATTTCTCCAGGTACCACAACATGTTGCACACATACACTCGTTAGTCTTTGGACATTTCTATTCTCATTGTAAATTTCCAGGTACTAAAACATATTACGTATGTACACTTGCTGTGCCGAAATCTTAGCAACAGATTTTGGGGGRGGGGGGGGGGGGGGTCAGCGCGGTAATGAGCGTCCCACCCTGAGCATCCCATGTCGCCCGCTGGCAACACAACCCAAAACCTCGACAGGAACACTGATCAACTGAGATGTTACTGTGGTCAAGGAGCCCTGAAGCTGTGGAAACAATCTGATTGTCTACCAGGGATGGACGTTGTCGCAACACATACTCTCCTTGAAACTTACTGTTGCGTGGGATGATCAAGGCATGAGAGTGGAGGGAGAGTTAGGGCACTCAATTGTATCACCACCTTTGCCTGTGCACTCAACCCCATCGTACCCTGCATGCAGACTTCTCTGTCCACAGAAACCTGCATCAAAGTGGTATGCTCCAATATTTGGATCTTGTGAGCAGGATATGGAGGTCAAAAGCTGGTGCAGGAGTAGGGGGGAGCAGGGAGGGCGCAGCCCCCCTTTGCATTCTTCATTTCATCACCCCTTACGGCTGGGGGCAATCCACATGGATTCAGGTGTAATGGCAACCCTAGCAACGGAAGCTCAAGTTGTGGAAAAAGACTTCAGACTCCGTCAACTGCTTACTCCTTTGCATGGATTTGTGAGCAGTTGAAGATGCTTCTGCCAGCATGGCAGCAGGAAAAGGGGGAGGGGGGGGAGGGTGTTGCAGGCCCCCCCTGCTTGATTCATTCCAACTTGACTTCGTGGTTAGGTCCATCTTCATGATTACACTTCATAAGGGAAGCGCTAGCTTCGCCCTTCTTTTTGTACTCTGCAGGGTCACACCCAATGTGTCTTCCTTCTTTTCATTTCTTTTCTTCTTCCTTACCATATCTCAGAAGGGGTGAACTTGGCTTACTGATCGCAAATCATCATGTTGACACGGGGCAACTGACCTCACGCTATCCCAGCCCAGGGCCATGCCACTCCAAACCACCAGGGAAAACACGTGTGCACCCCTCCTCCGAAGAGATTCTTTGTCCCCCTGGGAACAACCCCTGAGTGTGCCTTAGCCAAACGTCAGTGTCTGTGAGAGAGAGGTGCATGCAAATTCAGCGTTCTCAATTAGACCTGATCAGCGCTCCCTCTTTCTTGCCCCATTTTGGGCGTTGTCCTTGGCAGTGAGAGATTCTGCAAATATCCGGTTGTGCTTCATGCCGGCAGCCCAATGCACTGTACACCAAAAAGCTGGATGAAAGGTGGGAGGATTACAGATCCTGTCGTAGTTTGTGTTATCGTCAGGCTCGAGTTTTCCCTCTCAGGCAAGCCTGTGCACATGTCAAGTTGCATATATAACGCGTTTGATTACATTTGATGATCAAGTGTTCCAGCTCCTGTAGCTCAGTTGGTCAGAGCGTGATGCTAATACACCAATTCTGGTGGAAGGCACGTCAAGGTCCTCGGTTCGAGCCCGGGTGGGAGCAAGTATGCACATTTAAAACCTTGATGATTGGGATATCTCGGTTTTTGCCCAAACCATCCTTTATGGTGGTTGGCGTTCCCCTGGTTCCCCACAAACTGGTAAATTTGTCAGGGAACTACATGCTGAACATAATTTGTACACACCTGTTTTTCACTCCGGACTTGCTCTGGGTTTTGGCATAGCTTTAGATAATTTTAAAAACTTTCAATTGTCTGCATAAGCAAGAAAGGGGCTGTAGCTCATCGGCAGAGCGTGACATTTGCATTGTCGAGGTAGGGGGTTCGACACCCTCCAGCTCCAGTTTTGCCTTAGTGTGCATCATTGCTGGCTGACCCGTCCTCGTSYAGGGGGCAGAAAACGTTTGTTTATCTACTGTGCGTTTGGGGACATTTTCTGTGCGTCACCTACATTGCACCTTCTTTTTGGCACGTCTGGGTAAAGTGAATGAGCGTGCATTGCTTTCCGGAGTGAGCGCCACCAGTTCAAACAAGAAGCAAAGGAGCACAGTAGTCTACTCCAGCCAGTAGGACATCCATCACACTGCTGTCAAGAGGCCCTGTCCAGCAAACCTCTCAAGGCTAGCAAGCTATGGTTGAGGTGAGTATGTGCACAATTCACACAGGGTGGGCATGCAGCTTTCGTGCAAGTTTGTTAGATCTCTGCGGGTCGGTTCCTAGCTTTCTGGATTGATGTAGGGTATGGGCAGTGCAAACAGTCCCACCCATTGCACCATTATTTCCCCTGCCAAAATAAGATAGGCCTCCTCTCATTAAAAAAGGATTGGTACAGTTCCACAGTTCCACTCGTGCGTGTACACAGGACAAGAGGGTTACGCTTGCTCTTCTAGTGAGTCGTTTGTCTTGAGAATCCAGCTACTGACGAGCCTCGCTTAAGCACGTTCTGTGCCCAAACTCTGTCAGGCCCCTTTTACTAGGTTTGTTAAAGTTTGAATAATGCACAATGCCTGTCACCTCAAAGCCAGCTCTCCGAGCGCAGTTGCATCTAGGCGGAGTAGGCTCAAAACAGTGCCCAGGCACCTGGGACGCAACACTGGTATATGTCAGCATACTGCTGAAGTGCAAGCGTAGGGCGTTATGCTGCAGGAGTTGCAAGACCATTGTTAATTGCTTAAGCACTTTGACGCTTCTGCTCCATGCCAGCAGTTTTCAGATTAACACCAAGCTGCCCTACTCTGTTGCAGACTTCTGCAGCTGTTGCTGCTGCTGCTGCTGCTGCAAGTGCTGCTCCCATTATGACTCTTTTTGCTGGTGGGGTTGCTTGGCTTTTGCTTCTACTATGGCAGCTTGGGAGCAGCTGCTGCTGATGCCACCTTGTCTTTGCGACTCCTTGTGCCGACAACAGAATTGATAGAATGTGCTCTTCGAGCCTGCACAAGCTTACTCATGTCAATATCCGCTCCAAGCACCCTACGCAAAGACGTGCTGTTGCAGGCCAGGGAGGCATTATGAAACCTGACAGCAGCCCAAAAATTAGCCGAGAAGCAGTTGAATAAGGAAGCTTACTTTCTCCTCAAAGTACAAACATCTGTGTCTCTGCACACCAAAAGGGCATGAGCTTCATCCTGAATCTCAGCACAAGAGCAGCGGTCACACATGTGAGACCAACCTGATCAGCTCCAGGTAATGTTGAATAGGTTGCATGCATATGCTCAGTGGACAATGGGAGCAGCAGCAGCAGAAGTCTGCAGCAGAGTAGGGCATTCATATTAATCTGAAAGCTGCTGGCATGGAGCAGAAGCGTCAGGTGCTTAAGCAGGTTACCATGGTCTTGCAGCTCCTATAGCATAACGCCCTGCGCTTGTAAGAAAGAAAGAAAAGAAAAGAAAAGAAAAGAAAAGAAAAGAAAAGAAAAGAAAAGAAAAACTACGTAGGCAGAGAAACTCTCCCTACATCAATTAAGGAAA